ATCATCATCAACTTGCTTCTTAAGGTCATCAAAATCAAGAAAAATAGGTACTGTAAGTGAGTTTAAGTGCATTTCGGCAGGAACTCTGGATAGGGCGTCAGCCATAGTATTATCGGCACCCGGTTTGTACTGAATCTCGAAGTCATAATTCATAAGCTTAAGAAGCCACTTATGATGCTCACCTTTGACAATCCGCTGCTCCAACAGATACTTGAGACTCTGCTGGTCGGTCCGAACAATAAAGCGTCTTCCAAGAAGATAGGGGCGCCATTTTTTAATAGCAAAGACAATGGCCATTAATTCCCTCTCGTAGACAGATTTTGATTGTGCTGACAAGCTAAGCTTGTGGCTATAAAAAGCTATAGGCCGATTATTCTGCATTAATACCGCCTCGAGACCTACCCCGGATGCATCTGTCTCGATCAAGAAGGGCTGGGAAAAATCTGGAAGGGCCAACACTGGTACGGTCGTCATAGCCCGTTTCAATTCCTGAAATGCATTCTCAGCCTCCGCATTCCGTGAGAAAGCATTCTTTTTAAGCTGCTGTGTCAATGGCCATGCTATTTTACTATAGTTACGCACAAAACGGCGATAATAGCCTGTAAGTCCCAAAAAACCACGAAGAGCTTTAAGTGAAGATGGTTGAGGCCAGTCAACCATGGCCTGGATTTTAGAAGGATCGGCAGAAACACCAGCCACGCTAATAATATGACCCAGATACTCAATGCTAGGCTGAGCAAAGATACATTTCTTTGAGTTGGCAAAGAGACGGTGGGCGCGCAACACAGAGAAGACCTATCGGAGGTGATCCCAATGGGCAGCTTCGGAAGCACTGTAAACCAGAATATCATCAAAAAATACCAGCACAAAGCGACGGAGGAAATCATGGAATACTGTATTCATTAATGATTGGAAGGTCGAGGGCGCATTGGTGAGACCGAAGGCCATGACAAGGAATTCGTAATGACCCTCGTGGGTGCGAAATGCAGTCTTGGGAATGTCCTCACTGCGGACCCGAATCTGGTGGTAGCCCGATTTAAGATCAATTTTGCTGAAAATAGAAGCACCATGGAGCTCATCGAGAAGTTCTTCGATGACCGGAATGGGGAACTTATCCGGAACCGTAGCACGGTTAAGGGCTTTGTAATCCACACAAAAACGCCAACTTTTGTCTTTCTTTTTGACTAAAAGGACCGAGCTCGAGTAGGGGCTTGTACTTGGCTGAATAATTCCCATAGCCAACATCTCAGAGACAAGGCGTTCAATCTCATCTTTCTGGAATCGAGGATATCTGTAAGGACGAACAGAGATAGGAGAAGTGCCTTCCTGTAAGACAATAGCATGTTCTGTAGCCCGTGCAGGGGGTAAGCCCGTAGGCATGTCAAAAAATATCTTTGAACTCATCTAGTAAGGTGGAGATTGGTGGGGATGTAGGCAAGACAGAGTTCAGCGGAGGATCCACTATCTGCAATTGTTTTAATTCTATCAAAACCCCTTGTCCCTCATGTTGTAAGTTGCACATCATGGCATGCAAAGATACCTGAGAGGAACAGAGAGAAGGGTCACCCTGCAACTTTACCCGGACACCTCCCAAATTGAGCTTCATAGACATGTTGCCCCAATTCATCACTGAGTCCCCGAGGGATGCTAACCAAGGAAAACCAAGAATGACATCCGTAGAACCCAACTTTAAGGGAAAGAAATCAGCAATGACATCCAATTCGGGTAAGTTGAGGCAAACCTGA